CGTAGATACAATGGACACACGGTGTAGAGGATACTGTAGAAAGGGAAGGTACAGTGGAAGCCGTGCGGCCAATTTATCCACCGACGTTTCCGACGTGTGAGCAATGCGAGCCTATAGTTTGCGCATCGATTCTTCGTAGCGCAACGAAGCAATGCTCTGTCATTGTTTCTCGTTCATAATGATATATTTATGGGAGGGCAATGTCCCAACGGAATTAATTCTGACCGTATTTGTGCTAGTAAATCATATTCAAGTTTCTCGTGAAAAAAGACTGTAGTTAGCAAATACGCAAATATAAAATTGGACGAGAAATTCCTGAATTAAAATATTAAAATTATATGTAAATACGTATATATATTTATGGTGCCACTGTAGGCATAGATCAAAGTAATAAGAAAATTTTGTGAAATTTTTATTCATTAACTTGATTAAAGTAGAATTATTAAAGATAAATTTAACATCAATAAATTAACGAAGCGCGTTTTTATTTGTAATATTGTATAACAAGATTAAAGGTGCATGCATTTCCATCCAACATTTTTATCTTTCCCTCTTTTAATCTTCAAATGTCTAGCATGGTCGCTGTCTTAACTTTACGATGCTCTGCCGCCATAAAACTGGTCTCCCGAAAATTACGACGGAGAATCTTATAAGAACCAAACTGTCTTATAATAACCGTTTTTCTTTCATGGTAAAGATCAACGATAAGTTACGCAATGCTTCTGCCAAGCACGATATTCGAATCTAAACATAATTTAAGATCTCGATACCAAAATCGCAGTTTTTATTTTTGTTTTCTGGTTAAGAATGTCATCGCAAATTAAAGCTTGTTTATTGTAGATAAAAGAACGTCGTTTCCTTTTTGTCGACTTTTTTATTCAGCAGTTTATTTGTGCAATTAGTCTGTTTCAACGGGTATGAATTAATGTCGGAAACACATCTTCAACTTTGGATTAGATATAATAACTTTTCCAAGTAGAATGTAGAAGTGGACATAATTCACCGAAAATAGGATTAATATTTATATTGTATCCAGTTTTTCTATTTTTGAAAAAAGTTTTCAAATTAAAACAGTTTCTGCTTTTGACAGCTATCTTTATTAGCAGATAATTCAATTTTCAATTTATATTAAAGGAAAATCTGGTAATACATCCTGTTTTCGAGGACATTTAACATGGTGCTTCTTTATCGATAATATAAGTTTTAATAGCGGATAACTTTCGATGTATACTTGATGTATTATTGAATGTTAGATGTGGATGCAATACAGTTTCTACGCTTGATAATTTCAACTTTTGGGTGTCAAATGATACTGCATGGAAAAGAAGTCGGCGAGAAAGGATCTATCTGGGGAGCATAGTCTACCACACTTTATCTCCTTCTTATAAATGAAACAGGTTATTTATTATCCAATAAAGAGACACTCTTGGCACGCGGCACCCCCGCTGGGTACTTTACGGGGGTGGCAACCCCTGACGTGTAAATATCGAGGTTTCTCTGCGTCCCTCTCCAGAGACCACTGTGCGACGTTTTATCTTTTACACGAGTTTTCGACAGCACATATTCTGCTCGTCGCTTGAGAGAATCTAGGACCGGCAGAAAGGCAAAAGGTCCTGTGCGACCAGTATTCAACACGTGTGATTAATTATTTCAATACCGTGATCTTGCGATTCTACTTCACGTATGTGCAATAATTAGTAATTAATATGTCCATGTCAAATATTCATATATTAAGCTAATCGTTTGGGGAAATAGTAATACATTTTATAATATATTTTTATATCGAGAAATAAAACAGTTTGTCAAAATATTTAATGTAAAACATAGCTGTTCTAGCGTAAAATATTTTACACTTTTATGAAAAGTGAAATTAAATTAAAATTGAAGTATTAATTAATTAGTTAATTTTGAAAAATTAAAATTTTATATTATCAAAATTGGTATAATAATTTTACATTTATTTATTTTTGATAATTCATTCACACACACGGTATTATATCGAACAACTTATGTGTAAAGCATATAATGGCATTCTATTAAATTTCCGTTTCTTAAGTTGTGCACTGTTGAACCGTATCTTCCGGATGGATTACCAGCCAGGAGCGTGTGCTTTTGTGCGCGCCAGCACGAATGAAAAATTGTTGCGCGGCTAGTCCATTCGACAAAGTGGCCTTCATTAAAACTTTGTAAAGCTTTATGGAACCAACTAGCCCGAGGTTGTTTTATACGCGGTAGTGAGCATGTTGCGTTGTGACTCAGGAACTAGGCGACCCGATATGGCCTACGTAAATTACGAGATGTGAAAATCTGGAATAATCAAATGCTTTGCCTGCCGAGCAAAGACGCGACAATTTAATCACGTATGCTTCAGCGTAAAAAGACGCTTCAGCGAGTCGCCATGCGAAATACTTTCTCCTCAATTTTCTACAAGACGCGATTTTCCAGGTGCACTTCCGGTAGCGTGCAGCCGCGTCCGCGCACACACGCAAGAACTTTTAACGAAGTTTGCGAAACAGCTGATTGATTTTCGCTTAACTCGATCTCGAGTTATCCTCGAAAGCGTGCGACGCATCTAGAACATCGTCTTAGAGATTGACCGGAAAATGCACGATGGTAGTCTCCTTATCTTCAAAGATAACTGAGATTTTAAAATCAAAATATAATTATGTATGAAATGTAAATAAAAAATATAGCTAATTTAATAATTTACATCACTGGAATATAAAATTATTCGCAGAAATAAAGTTTTTGAGATGACACATTCAAATAGAATGCGATAAGAAAGTAATTAATTCCAGGAAATCGGAGTATTTTTACAAAATTTGAAATTTAAAAGAAAGTTATCGAGCGTGAACAGCAATTTTCTTTCAAGGGAGAATAATTGCTGCGACGCTCCGCATCCGTGTCATTCGGGACTTCCGCCTGAAGGACATGCAGATCATCTGCAGAAGCGGTTTCTTCGTCACGGATACTTCGCCCTTTTCGTTCCTTAATTGATCCTATTAAAAAACCTTTCAAACAACTCAGATTTCCCGTACCGACACTTCTTTTCGCAGCGAATGCTCACCTCAACTAAACGGCAACTTCCGTCAGTTTCTCACAAAAGAATTCTCGTCGCATTCGACAGGACAATGCTCTCCTCGAGCCGTGCCGAGTTCTAACAACTTCTGAATCCGTCGCGATCCTCGACCGAATTTTCCTTCGAGGAAGGCACGCAAGCTCCCTCCTACTCGGATAGACTTTCTCATCGTTCTTCGTTGCCTTGTATTTTCACTCCCACGCACACTCTCAGCATTTTCACGGATTGTGACTTATCCTCGGCGGAAGCAACGCATACCTTCCACGCAATCCTCTTTTCTGGAGGCAGAGAAGCCAAGGTACAAGGCATGTCTGCATCTTAAGACGGCAAAAAGGAATTCCGAAGAATTTGATAACTACTTATAGCCGAGATCGCGTCGCAGCTTGCGACGAAAAATTTGCGTTTCACCGTAAGCGCTGCATCTGGATGCAAAATTTTTAGAAATGGCAAAAAGCAATTCCATATTGAATTTATCTTATAATACTTTATAGAACATTATTCCATCAGAGATAGCTATACCGCCGTTATCCGGATGCACATATGGAAATGGAATTTCGCGAAAAGTAATACAAATTGTATGTATTGAACGTTTATATAGTTATCTGCTTTTTCATGCTATTACAGCGTTGTATTTTTCCTTTCTTATCCGCTTTCCTCATTCCGCTATGTAACTCTTATACGAATCCCATTTTCGTATGTTTCTTCGCCCTTGACGATCCCTTATTGAACTCTTGGAAGCAACCCCTACTGCGTCGCTATACTGCTACGAAATAACCAACTTCGAATCCCGCTGTTAGATATCTTGCTCTTCTAATATTTTCCGATATCAGCTGCGTGTTGACGTTGAGCCAAGGTCGCGCGCAGTATGTATTATATCCAATTTCTTTATCTCCGATTCGACTTGTTTCGCTTAATGTCTCGTCGTTGGAATATCTTGAGCACTGTTCGATCGTGGTATATGTTTACATATGCAGGATATTTCGAAATCGGAGATATATACGTTTTAACGGATATTGGAAATCAATCTCAGAACAAATATCCATATATTTAAACGTACTGGCACTCTTCTATAGAAATGACGTTTTAATTCTTTCTTTCTAGTTTTAAATAATTGAAAGTAATAAAAAAAAATACAATAAATTTGTACGAACTGTATTGCGATATGTATAAATGAATAAGAAATATAAATATTAGTGTCCGCTGAAAACTAGAATGTTGATTATCCACTGAAGAGTACAGAGTAAACGTTTTGAAAACGCATTCGATCGCTATTCGTAGTCGGAAATACTATTCCGTTAGAATGACGCACGCCATCAAAGGCTAATGGATTCGGCCCGAGGTAATTCCGATCCATTATCTCGCTTGTAGAGCCTTCATTCGCTCGGTCTGTTCAAACCGTCCTTTTGTTTCTTTTCGCGTCCTGTTGAGCCGAACTCACTCTTCTTTTCTCCCATTCTTTCTCCTTGATTCCCCAATTGTCTGCGATCTATAATTCATTTAAGTAATTTCGCACCAGTTCGTATGGCTGCCGCAAAAGTTTGGTAATGTTCAAAATCGTGGAATAACATTATTGTTCATTATTTTTATTATGCTAAAATATAACATTGCGCAGGCTACACGCGCAATAATTAATTTTTTAATGTCATCTGATTAACATTTGGGACCATTTCTTCGTTGAAAATATAAGATTTCAATGCATCATAGAAGAAAAGGTAAATTTTAAATTGCAGATCTATCAATTTTTATAGTATAAGATTACAGTGTCTAATAATGAATAAAATGTATATTTTAACATTCTAGGTCATTTCTAAAATTCTAAGCATTTTTTTCTAAAGAATGCCAATTATTTTTGTAATCGCAATACGAAAATATACACTCAGTGAGGAAATAAATACTGAAAAGATAATTTTGTTTGTTTCAGGCTTTGGCCAGGATACGCCAGTGCACACAATAATCTTGGAACTCTCACGATAGACGATCAAGCGGAATATCATTTTCTAGCAGCCATTAATGCTCAACCAGGTCACGTAAATGCTCATTATAATCTCGGACGATTGTACAGGTCAGTGAATGAATAAACATCTCTCCAAGCATGAGCGCACCATAACGTTTCAAATTGTCAATTACTAATGCAATTAATCTATCGGTTTATCCGTCAGTGCTACGCATTAAATTGCGTTATATCGGTTGATTATTAAGAAACTATTACTGTATCGTGTCCACGTGATAAAAATATCTCTCCATCTCCTGATTCATCATTTTATCAACCATGTTATCGACCCGAGCGCAAGCCGTGTTTCCGACGGTAAATTTAGCATGGGCTGTAATTCCGGTGGCATGGTTAAAATTAAAGTTTAATTAACGCCTTCCTACTTGATAAATTAAAGTTTAATTAAGGATAGAAGTGGTACACACACGGCCAGTCGATGCATAAATGCAACAATTTTCCGCTCATCGTGCGTAAATTGTGAAAAACAAGTGTCCTCATTTATTAATTCTTCTCTTTTTCCTGAGAATTTTTATTTGAAGTCTGCGATTTTTGATGAAACATTTACGAAATGATTAATTAGATTTTTAAAATTTTTTCTGTAGCTACATATAAACTATATACAGGGTGTCTGGCAATAATCGCCCCACCGGTCATATACAGGTAGAGGAGGTCAAATCGAGTAGAAAAGTCCTTTACCATTTTTTTATTTTTGTAATAAGTACTAAGTAATTAACGAAAAAAGATTGGTGAATCCGTGCAAGTAAAGCGCGCGCAGCGAGAAGGACATCCCACTGCTATGCGATCACTAGGCGCGCGATGAAGCGTTGGGAGGAGCGCTCTACAAATGACAATGGCAACATACGAGCGGCGCGTAACGCTAGATCCTTGTGTCCTAGTGATCGCGTAGCAGTGGGACGTCCTTCTCACCGCGCGCGCTTTACTCGCGCGGATTCGCCGATCTTTTTTCGTTAATTACTCAGTACTTATTATGAAAATTAAAAAATGGTAAAGGACTTTTCTACTCGATTTGACCTCCTCTACCTGTATATGACCGGTGGGGCGATTATTGCCAGACACCCTGTATATCGTAGCAATATGTAAGTAATGAAACTCTTTTATTCTCGTTTTCTTGTCAATAATATCGTGGATAATGTTGCCAAAATAGATTTGTTTCCTCTCTAATGTCTAATCTAATAATCGATCGTGTCAGCTACTTAATTGCTATCTGAATGCAATGGCATGTTTCGCATCGATTTTATAATCATAATGGCACATTATCGGTAATATTTGTGCAACATTATTGTTATATAGCCCCAAACAACAGCACATTTTAACTCAATGCACTTTCGATGTAATTTTCGTTTAATATAACGTGGCGTATTTTCTATATGATATATTTGTAGGATCGACGTAGCGTTTGGACATTGAATAATAAATTATTCAATGGCTCAAATACGTGATGGAAAGTAATGTTGCATGTATATAAGTGTCATGCATGAGAAACCCGTGCACATACGATGTATAACAAGGTGCTTCTCTTTGAAATAGAGTGACAGCACTTGCGCGTAGATCACGAAGCGCGCTTTTGTTTCTGTTTACAGAGATGCAAGTCGCGAATACATTATTCATATTATCGTTATAAGAAGATGCAGAGAGATACGTGAAAATTTGCTCTTGTATGTATAATATATATGGAGTTCCTGTCAATTTATTGGTTTTTATTTTTAAAATATTAATTCTTTTGATATAAAGAATGTGTATATGTACGTTCAAAAAAATGCTGACTGTGGCCGCAGGATGTATAAATATACCGTGTGAAAATCGTTTGTTGCGGCAGCGGGACATATATACGCATCCGAATCAATGAACTCGACGCGCCAGCCAGTAGCGACTGTATCGTGTTCTTCAAAAAAATTAATTTTTTTTTGCAATTAATCGGCGACATCTCGCAAGTCAATCATAATTATCGGCTGACTGTTAAATGCAATGATATTTCGCGCATGATAGACGATCAATATAGACGGTTCCAGGCTTATCAAAAGTGTTAGCCTTAAATCTTTACTTTAATTTGTTGTGACGTTTCTGTGCGAAGATATTGGAAATTGTGTTGATAACATCCCGCAATGATCATATCCCGAGTTACGGCATCTCGATGTAGGCCGACGTAGACAATCACGTTCCTTCGCTTAAGGCCGTCGAGACAGTCACGTGCCTGAAGGTCACGAGACAGCTATGTGCTTCACGCGACCCGTTACTACTGTGATCAGCTGTTTGCAGTAGCGTAGTTATGTAACAGTACACGCACTACACGTACGCGCGCACACATGCACGTTATTCGTAAATCGGTACGTGCGCACTGGATTTTTAAAACGCTATAACCCGATGAAAAATTGATGTAGCGACATGCGCCAAAAACGGATATTTTATGCTTTGTGTTCTGCAAATGCTTCTTTTCAGTGCATATGCTCTTGTCATGACATGTATATACATGTGTATTGTACATTAGTTTAAAATATAGAAGAGAGTCATATCTGACAATTAAACAATTTTTATTCAATCGTAAATAATATTCATATTTATCTCACAGTGGTCGCGCGCGCGCGAATTATTCATTTTATGTAAAAGAATAACAAATTTCATGACTTACTGGCCGCATAGCAAAAGTGCAAAAATATGACTAAACTTAATGACGAACTCTGAAACAACACGGTAATTTCCTTCTTTTAATACTTGCTCTCTACTCGCATTCTGAAAGGTGCAGCCTTTTAATTTTTATCTACCTGTGTTGCTAAACAGAGTTTATGTGATATATACAGAGCAATGATTTTCAACTATTTTTGTACGCGTAAAAAAATTTTTTTTTAAATATAAGAAGCAGGTACTAAGTAAATATATATATATATATATATATAAAATAATTAATTATTTAGTTCGAAAATATATGCTTGTTACATTTTCTTTTCGAAAGGTTTAATTTTTTATTTCAAAATATTTGCATGTTATGTATCAAAAATCTCTCGCGGTTCAAAGTTGAATCGCTATGCAGAGAAAATCACAATACTGTAAAATATGTGAAGTAAATTTTGTGCGAAAAAAAACTTATAAAATATGTTTACTTGATTCGAGATATAGTCTGATGTATTATGTATATAGTCCGACGACTACCGCGCGTCTATATAAATGCTTTGTTGGCATTTCTTCTTTCGAACACATGGAAATGACGATAGAACGATATTGTAAAAAGCATCGTCCGAGCTGCGGGCGTAAACAGTAAAAACGGCATTGTCGATCGGTATTATTGGCACCGTCATTCTCTGACAATTACCGAGTCTTTTGTCGGGCGCAAAGTCGATTACATCGAAAGCGCACGACTATAATTCAACCGGACGCGTTCGCGAAATTGCCGTTCAATTTGCACAGGAACGCCGAATTTACGCGGTAACTTGCCCGTCGTTCTCTTCAATGTCGGGCCTTTATCAGCCTATCGACCTACTTTGAAATATGTAGCATTTTCGTCGCATTTATTTTCACAATAGGACAAGCCAGGCAAGACATAAATTGTCAGGATATTATTTTAGCGAAATGCATTAGCGCGCAAGCGGTATTGAATGATAAAATAATATTGCTTGAGCGATATGCATTGAATTTATAATCGACGTTAATTAGCATTGAGTTGCTCATTATGGATAAGAATAATAAATGACAATCTTCCAATTACGTTGCTTCATCCAATGATTTGATTAATATTCTATTAAAGTTTTTTAATTGCTGCAATTTTTATTTATCTAAAATACGTTACAAATTGCGAATATGCATTATAAACGTTTAAATATAACGATATTTATCTTATGATCTTTGCAAAAAATTACAAATATTAGTTACTTGTAGAAAAAGTCAAGTTGATTAAATATGAAATCATATTTAATTGAAAGTTGCTCGTATTGTTGCGCTATTTCGCAAAGGCTTCTTTAAAACCTTCGTAATAACATTTGCAAAAATTTTGTGTGTAGGAGGACAAATCGAACTGAGCAATGCATTGAGATGCTGAGAAGATGCGTGTCTCTGGATCCCGCGTTCGCACCGGCGTTCAGAGTTTTAGCGAAGATTGCAACCGGTCCTGCAACAGGCGAGCTTCTGAGGCATGTAATTCACCTTCAACCGCGAAATCCAGATGCAGTCGCCGAGTACGCTTACTGGTTGTACAAGAACGGTAAGTTACTAAACAAAATAAGCTCAGAGTAGCGCGCGGAAGAAGTTCTTTGAAGTCCTTAATAGGAAAAGCGATGCTTGTCAGCGAAAGTAGAACAATCTCGCCGTTGCAACTATCGCGGTTGCAACGGTCACAACTTGAAATTTACCATTGCGACACACTTGTTTCATCTCTTTCAGGCAAATGGCTGCCCTCGCTTCAGTACTATTTCAAAGCCATGAAGATTTTCCCGTCGCACAAGCCGTCGCTCATCGGTACACTCAGGATTCTGAGGTTGCGAGGTCAGTCATCCAGGGTGCATCAGCTCATCATCCGGTGAGTATTCGTGATCTTTGTACGTGTGTGCGTCGCTGAACACATCTAGTTACATTACCGCTAAAGCGGCGAAAGTCTCCGAAGGAATAGAAAAATCTGTTTCGCGAAGTTATACTACGTGAATGGCATTACGTGTCGGTTTCTAAATATATCTAATCGCTTTAGGAAGGTAAGCGGAAAGTACACACCGAGTATTCCGCAGGATTACTCAAGATAGTATCAGATTTACATTCCGGAGAATATCACAACAGCTTCGTGTACGCGCGACGTAATGTCCAATCCGTAATTTTCCCGGCGCCAGCGCGAGATCGTATACAAACACGAGGCTCTTCCGCGTGTTACGAATTCCGTGCATGCGACGAAGCGTGGCTTAGTCGCACGGAAATCCTTTCAATTTCAGATGGGCTTTACAGCGTTGCGCGAATCGAGCGGCGGGCTTATTCGCGCGGCAAGTACTCGGTACGTTAGCGCACACGTCGATTCGCAATCAGCGAACGAATTCAATTTTTTCCGCCGAGCTCTCCGGACTCGATCTTCGTTCCGCGCGGATTGATTAAAAATTCCACGCGATTTTCGTACACTTCGCGTCAAACATACTGAAGAATATAAAAAAATAAAAAAAATAAAAAAAGAGGGAGGGAAAGAAGAAAAAACAGATTCTCTGTACTGTCTCGCGAATTGATGCGATGGGAGGGAAGGGAGAAGAAAAAACAGATTCTCTGTACTGTCTCGCGAGTTGATGCGATCGTTCTGTCTCACTGCCGGATCCGCCATCGGCCGTTTATGTACGTGCCGCGCATCTACGTACACACGTAGATTATACGATAACGGGTGCGCAAGCGGCGGGTCCCCGTGTTTTCGCTTCGACCGCCGCCGCTCCGCCACCCATTTTTCCACCCTCGCACTGTAATCCTCCCGCGCGTCCCGTTGTGTGTGCAAATAGCGCCTATAAAACACGCACGGTAAATTTGCCAGCGACGATTCGCGCTGTTTTTGCAGCCAGCACGCTCTTTGTCCCTCTCTTTCTCTCTCCTTCTCACTCTTTCTCGATGAGCTTGCCAGCAACGAAGAGCCGCGGCGGATGCTGGCGAATCGTCGTCCGAGCGTATACGAGTTTTGCAGAGGCAGAGATAGGCACGTAGGCGTGGCCCGGGGGATGTAGGAGCAACGGGGCGAAAGGGGGTTAAATTTTGGAGAAACAACGCCCGGAGAGGCGCCGGCGGACAGGCGGCCGAGCGGCGAACCATTCTCTCTCTTTCTCTTCGCTCTCGCTCTTTCCTTCTCTGTGTTGCTACCACACACGAAATTTCAATATGCATCGTTTGACAGATGTGGCGCATCGCCCGGATTTTAAATGCAAATATAAATCTCGCAGTCCACGTAACGGATTGGTGGTGCGAAGGGCGTAGAACATATAGCTGTGTGCAGTTACTGAAGGAAAAAAATAGTTTTTTTTAATGTCCAAACTATCATTTTATCCGTTTGAAATGGATGCACAATAACACAAGTGACTGTTGTTACGACTGTTTTACTTTGATTGAGCACAATCGATTAAATATTTTGAACATAGACTTGTGAATATTGAAACGTAATATGCAATATAAATAACATTCAATATAATTTATGCAGATAGGAAGATATAGAATGTTTAATCAACATCCTTACAGTTTTCTTTTTCAAGCATTTAGAGCGCGTGAAGTTAAATATATTGCGCTCACGTATCTATAGCTTTGTTCACAGATGCATATACATAACTATCATAAATTTATAACATTTTATCGCAGCACTTCGATCAGTTCACTGTGTGCGTACTCACTGCACGCGTTCGTGTTTAACTTACTATTCGCAATATGAATCATTCGTCGGGAGAAGCGCGGAATTCCCGTTTGATATTCAACAGTCCATTCTATGTAACCAAACGTACAAATCGTGTGTTTGCAGAAGAATTATATCATTCAGAATATTCTTGTTCCTCAATGAACGTTATGGGACAAAGTTTGAAAGGCATTGTACAATCCGACGCTTGCAAACAGTACAGAGAGAGAGAGTAGTGACCTTGTTTAATTATATTATTTCGAGCCGCGCGTCATCAATGTGACGGGCATTCCGCGAACTTTCCGTAGCTCGAGAGTGCTTCACGTTTCATTTATTTAAAGCCAAGCAGGCTTCCGCTATTTCCAGTTTCCACTCGGTTCGCGATGGTCGGATTAATTTCTCATAAATCGCCCGCGGTTTTCGTTGATTGGGTCACGGTTTCATTTGTGCCTCGCTCCAGGACACACCGTTTCCGATCTGAAGTAATTAAGTGTCGCGATCGGCACGTAGCTCGATATCGAATATCACGTCCGCTTTTATACGTACAATATGATATTGACACTGTCGAGGAAACGATGGACTGGAAGTGTGACATATTACGATATCATTTTGGAAAAGTTGCTCTTTCTGAAATAGCGTAGAAGCAAGGACACTATTGTAACTTTTATTGCGTACTTTATATAGGTACTCTGGAACATTTTTTTAAACGTACTCAGACATGTAGCAAAAATATATAAACGTTAAATAAAATTGTGAGGTACCGGATTGTTTAGCTAGCGTGTGTTTTATTCAATTGTATAGAGAATAATATTTTCTTTCTTTTTTAATAAAATATTAGTCACTATAGGCATGGAGCTTTCCTGTGAGATATCTTTATATTTACATTATTGTGGAAATTATATAGAACAGAAGATATAAATAAACGTGTATGTAATGTTCATAGAACTTATGGCAGCACTGAGGTTGGAAAGTGCTTTCGTATATTTCATGAAATATGCTGCACTACGTTCACTGAATTATCGAGACGCGAACTATAGTTCTTCCGAAGATAAGATAATTTTTGCTTCGTAGTTTTCAAAGGCAATTTTCTCAGTCATTGACGAAGTTCTTTCCACTACATTGTCGCTAACAATGGAACTATGCTCCGTAGGATGTTCATACTTGGGATGAAAATTGCAGACAATATAAGAGATAAGTCTGAGTGTCTGTTTTATATTTTTCAAGTCACATTTGTATACTCGTGAAAGATATATATATATTTAAGTACAACAAAAATATATATTAAATTATTATTGGAGTAATATAATTATAAATTATATTAATAAATTCACAATGCATTGCGTTAATCCATTATGAGATAAACATGATTTTATTTGCACGCAAAAATCGTTCTGTCGGCAATGGCTAATAAATAAATATATAATAACGAATATATTGAACGCCTCGATATTTATTAATTATTTGCTTTAAGTGCAGTCAATAGGTTTTTATAGTCGAATTAACAGCGATGAATTCAATTAAAGCTGTGTCTGTTATTCAACAACAGAATATTCAAGTATAACCCTGGCTGGTAGTGCTACTGATTATCGTCATGGTTTAGAAACATTGCGGCTCGTTTTCTCTGTGAATGTGCTAAAACGTTTGATCATTGCACGTGAAATCGTTTGGTATAAATGTTTTCCGTCCAATGCATTTCCATTTCATTTAAAGAATCGTACAAATGTCCAATTTCCGAAACATTGGCTAAATTACTGCGAAATGCACAATCACGCACAGGGTGCGCCGAAAATGTCCGCATGAAAATAATTTTGAAATACCAGTCTCGTTTATCATTTAAATTTGTTTATTTGTCTATCATTAAATCGCACTGATTCAAATAATTTCTCGGTATCAGGGCGTGGTGTGCGCGTCGAGATAAATATTTATTGGCACATTAATTAGCGTTGATAGATTGTAAAACTTTCATGGCACGTATCGAGATTATCGCGCAATTGCAATTCTCACTAGAATAAAACGAATATATGTCCCATTATGCGCGCAAATTGAACGTCTAAAATAACAACTGGAATAAGGGTCAACGTAGAAATCGATCGAATGGCTGACACGGTTGCTGTGGAAAGGCTTTCCCCCTACTTTTGTCCCTTTTTTCCTCCTATCGACATATAAATTCAGAGAAAAGCCACTACACGGGGGGATAATGCCCCGGCGCGATAACGTCGTCGCCGTTGCGTTAAGCGCTCGACGAGCTGATAAATCGAGAATTTACCGACGCTACCTGCATTCCTGCAGATTTGACCAGTGAAATGCAACGCGCGTGTTCGCGCAAATATTTTTTTTTCATCCAAAATTTAACACTCGCGCGATAAGCGCCGCGATGAAAGCGACGGTCTGTGCCGCCAGTTCCGCCGACAGGCGATCGCGGACTACTATGATGCATCGTCACGATCGCGGCGAACGACCTGGTCGCGATCTCGCGTAACGCGCAACAACAGTACAGGATGTGTCGGTACGCGGGAAAGAAATGCGCGTGTGCCGCAATAATTTTGAATCAACCTTCGCCGCTATCGTTTTCACGAGGCAGGATGCGATATTACACCGGCGTTTCGACTCGCACCGCGACCGCTCCCGGCCCGACACGGCCTCTATCTTCCGCTGTAAATAGCGATTTTATAATTCATGGAGCGCCGTGTTTCATCCGGTCTATCGGTGAACCACCAAACTGGCCGATATGACCAGTGGTAGCCGCGCGTTACCACTTCGTTACGACCACAGGTGAGCAGGAGTTTATTTCACGCGAATGTTCGTCCGAGATATAGACAAGGCTCGCGGCCGGTTTTAACGATGCTTACCACAAAACTTTAATTCTATCAAAAGTTTAATCCTCAAATCCTTCGGTGAAATCGTAAGTGTTTGGCTCGGCTCTATACCGATTTCGAGGCTGGCGACACGAGGGTACGATCTCTATTTTTACGGGCGTATTCCAATTTCCATATTTACATATCAAAAATTAAATCCGTTAAAACTGCACTAGTTTTGATTCTTGCTTTAAAAAACCAACATTGCTGTAGTATTTCTTGAATCTTTTATTAGCCGATATGATATTTTTTTAACTATATTTTTATTTAGATTGAATTGACCATATTGCTGTAACTGTATATTACTGTATTTACCAGCAAACGTACGATCGATTGCGAGCGATTTCAAACTAACCCGATGCGCTCGGAGACACGTGAGATTGCTAAGTCACATCGCGATTACAGTCGGTTCGAACGTCAACGTTGTCGCTGGCACGGATCGATATCGGCATTGATAGTGGATGAGGGGTGAAGCCATTCGATATACATAGGCATGCGTTCGATTAACCGGTACGAAAACGCCGGTATTGTCAATGCCTCGAATCTGCTCTAACTGCGTACGCGTAAATGTTACGGCCTTGATAACAATCAGGATTATTCGGGTGACTGAATGTGCACCCGGGACAATACAGCGTTCACTTTGACACCACAAGATTCATTCGCTTACGAATGAGAGCGTTAGCTAGCGAGTTATAATTATGACATTGATATTGATGTGCGAAATTAAAGTCATATTTTTCTGCACCGCGCGAATGATTAATCCGCGAAATTCACATCGCGACAGTTTGTTTGGCGACAAAAGATATATAAAAAAAGTTTTATCGATACGCCCTTTTGAATACGCTGCAGTTCGGCGACTGTGATAACGATCCAAACGTAATAAGTTGCAACATGATGGATTAACGCATGAGATGTTCTTTTAGTGAGCGATTACAACCAAGAATGAACGAGCAGTAGCGTGGCACAAATGCGGTATTACATAGATTCTAGCAGCAAGAATGAGATACAATCAAGAATGTATACATAAAATATATATATATTTATATGCAAGCCACATATGTGTATATGCATCGCGTGCGTATGTGCATGTGTATTCACGCATTTTATACATATTATGTATACACACATATGAGATGTATAAGAGATCGCGCATACCTTTGTATCACACTCGTTTATCAACTTCCCCTGTTTTACGGCTCGTAAACACGATACTCGGGTGAGAGTAGGGAGATCAGGAACCAACTTAGTGCGCAAGTGACGCGTAAAAAGCTACGTCACCAGTGAATTTCTTTTATAGAGTGTGCGAGCGAATATTGAATGACGATACCAATATTCATCGCCGCGAGAGTGAATATGCTAAAGAATTTAAAAGGTTCGGATTTAATGTCTCTATTCCCTCGGGTAATTATTGATCGTTCCATAATTCACATAAAAGAGGGAATCCTAAAAAGAATGCCTGCTTTCGCCCATTATGAGAGTATTCTAAAGCTCGCCGTGTAATATAATTTCATATACCACGAATGCAAACACATAATACATAATGTGGCATGCAAACAATGCGGAATTTTATTCTCTTCTTTGTTTCAGATGGCATTTAATGTTACGAGCGAAACGAGGGGGCTTCATCTATCGCGGAGATTTGTACATCCGTGCGTGGGAGCTACAAAGCGAGTCTCGTCAAAGGGCTCATCAACATCAACGGAATCTCTGTATATCGGTTAGTAGTTTTGACTATAACAGCATCGCGTGTATGGCGGCAAAGTTTCGCGAATTCAGTTCGTCATTTATCTTTGTTGCTATTTGCTATCTTTTTGCAATATCCTTTATTTGCTTATCAAAGTGGATAATCTTGAAAGTTATTACTGGCACGATATGCGATTCTGGTCTCCGCTGCTACTGTTTTTTTTCAAACTGCCTTGGAAAAGACTGATTAAAATTCTTTGGTCACGTCGTATCGCCATAATTCTAATTAAACAGATATAGTTTCCTTTAGTCCCTTTTTCTGTTTCTCATTTTTCATTCTGTTCTCGTTTCTGCGGCAACTTAGTTGGCTCGGGCACGACTTGCTCCATTCATTAAAGATTTAAGCCGTAAAAACTTGTGCGTACTTCGGCACACGTTGTCCTTTTACCATTCTGTCTAGATTAAGTCGCTTTTATAATTATCACGTGCACACTGATAATAATCGTAAGGCTGCCCTTGTGTTGGAAACATTCATGAGCCAACTCCGAAGATAACTGGATATCTTTATAAAGTCACGCAAGGAGAAAAATGCAGTCTTTTGTTTAAAGAATATAAAAGAGTATATTGCATATAATTGTGCATATAATGTTGAATGAAGACGGCACGTAGTTACGTGCACAGTTGTGCATTCTCGCGGCATAACAGCATTTGCAATTATTAATTTTGTAATGCATGTTGACAATTTTATGAATTGCGTTTAAGCAGTGCTCGAATTATTGACATTTGTGCACATTGTATTATTTCCCATTTTGGCGGATAAATTCATGCAAAAAGCGGAGCTGAAGGCATTTTGTCGTAAATATCTGTGCATTACGTACACGCGCGAAAGTAGTGTCAGGCATGGCGGAAAACACGACGCGCGTAGTAAGTAAAGTTTGTTAAAGTTTCATAATTCTGAAACTGCATTTAGCTCAACTAGAGACTTCTGCGTTTAAACTGATATTCGCCATTAATATTCCCATCGCTATTCAAAAGCGATGGTACTAATTAACTAACGTACTTTATCATTAGCATTCACTATTTGACTTTCGCAATTATACTCCACACGTAACGACTATTTAACATCATATTATGGTAAATCTTCTTTTGCATATTGATAGCGCTTGCACTTTACATTCATTACAATCGTAGAGCGAATCGCGCAAAGCGATGAGGCATTACCATTCGTGTACACACAATTGCGGAGCGATCGCAAATTCCGTTCGACAATCGAGCATCGACAATTGTCTGTTGTAGGAGAACGGATGTTCGAGACTGCGCGTGGCTAGTGTGTCGGTGCAGCTCGAACAAGACAGCAACAAGTCGGAACAGCTGCAGCGGGCGCCGCGTTGCAACGTGCGCACTTGCAGGCAGCCAAGAAAAGGGAAAGCGCGCGTGACCGCACCCACTCTGCTCGTGCAGAATTTCCTGGAGACGCTTTAGTCCGCGCAAATCGGGGAACGGGTCTATCTTCTGCTCGTTCGCCTGAGAACGGGCCGTGGAAGATGAATAGAGGAGCATATTCCGACCGCGGCAGCCTCGTCCGACGATCGTCAGCGACGAAGAGAGAGTCCTATTATAGTGGAATGTCTGAATATTTTTCGTATGCCATGTCTGTGTGCTATCTGGGACTGCAAAGCTCGATCTGTCCGCGGATCATTCATGATATCCAAGTGGAGAAAGGTACGCATGTATCGTTGTTATCATTTATATATATATAATGTGTTCTCGCGTTCTTCGTGGTATCCTGGCTATCCTGTCGATCGGACAGTGACGATGCGATTCGCGATCTCTTCGAAAATAATGTCAAGAAACAGATGCCTGCTCCGTAGATAATCTTAGCTTTGAACGTGGACGAAACGCTCCAGAATCAACGGTAAATTGTTCTACGCCGAGATAAATGACAATGTGCGTAATGGTGAGGATTGAGAGAGTGCTAGGGTTAAAAATTCTTTGAAAATTATTTTGCCACTCTTAAATTCGTCATAAGGATATTTAACGAGAGAGGACCAAGGGAGATTCGAGTGATTAACTATATGCGAATATGCGAAGTTTCGCGCGCAATTAATCGATTAAATGCGCAACCAAAATATAACGTAAAACCGTGTGCATTCCAACGTGTGTCTATCTATACTTTCGAAACGTGATAATTGTAATTGGTAATATAGTTACATGTAGGATGACGTGTTTCTATAAATATTTGCTGTATCTCGTGTGTGCTTTCAACGTTTTTATGATGTCTGTTTCGATGAAGCGATAAATTTGCTATCGTACATGTAATATCAGAAATACCTGCAGCAGTCTTTTACCAAACAATATCGTAATAAAAACTGGGGACTACACATTCATGACAAATATTTTGGCAAAAAGTTTCGGTGTAGCAACAATATAGTTGTCAGAAAAATATTTAAAATATAATAATACGAGTATTTAAAATAATATTTATGATATGACCATAAGATAAAGATCAATTAATCTTTTTGTTGAACAATTTGCTTGAAAACATTTCTAATTTTTATCATCGACAAACGTACGCATATTCATCGAGATATACATTATATTCTTTCGCTTGCGCCGACGATCGCAGCTATACGCGAAAATTGTGGCGCCAAACTTTAATTTTTTTTTTCATGACGATGGCGGTGTAGCACAGTGTGTAAAAATGAGTGCGTATATATACTTTGAAGACTCTTTCTCGGATCATTCTTTGTGCGCCTCTCTCGTGGACACGCAATTTTACGCACGTAAATACACGGTGCCAATACTAGGGTAATGAATGTACCGCTAATCTGCGGCGTTTGGTATGGCTTTTGTATGAAAATTAAAAAAAAGAAATAAACAATTTTAAAGAAATACATTCTTCGATGAGCTTGGCATGGCAATGTTCTGTTGCGAGTATATCGTAAAGAAGACTTTCTAAATATTTTTAAACGTTTATAAATTTATTACAAATGGGGAATTATAATTATATTTAACTCTGATGTGTTCAGCATTTAATTATTTCACTGCAATTTCTGTCTTTTTTTAAAATTAAATTAGACAATTAAAATTACACAATTACACGAACCATGATATTAAAACTGTCAAGAAATTTTTCAAGTTGAATAAAATATTTTCTATAGATGTTTCATACAGTTTGTAAAATTAATAGGTTTTTGTATGGTTAATAATTAATTATTTAATTACGAAAATAAGCAAAATATAATCTGTTTGTTAACATAATATAATTGATTTCGATAATTTATATGTCGCTTTACGAGTACTTGCAAAACTTTGCCAAAACTTAATAGAAGACCAATGTACATACTTGTATACAGGAAGGAAATGTTACATCGAAAGTTTTGGCGATGCTTATTAAACTTCTCTATTATAAATTACTGTCATGTAATATCGTTATAACGAACTCGAGTAAATAAATCTTGGCCATCCGATTGCCGGCCTGTGGTACTTTGCAGAATACTACGGACAGTGGGGAAAATGCAACGAAACATGAATTGAGATCTAAACTATAATAGTATATGGAAATGACAATGCATATGTATGAAGTTACATTTCCGTTTGTCACTTTCATTTTGTGATTATTATCTGATGTTCGTAACTCGAATATTTTCATTTTAGTATTTTATTTTAATATAGTAAGTATTGCATAAAATACCCATAACTTATTTTACTTTAATTACTCAAGTTATGTGATTTAAATTTCGTTACATTATCTCATACTTGATTAGAAAAGCGTTTAGTTAACAAAGTAATGCAATAAAGTTATATCGGCCAGCGTCAATCAGAATTGCATAAATTTTGAGCAAGCATAATATCACCATTATAACCGAGAAATGAGAAATTAAAATTTCCCTCGTATGGATGAAGTTATTAAAATAGGAGGTCATATAGAAGAGAGTTTGCTCATTAGCTAAGATAAGAAACAAAATACTTGGAAGCTAATACGTTTAATACGATACATGGAAGTGAGCCGAGTATTCTATTTTTCGTACATTTAAGCCTTAGACGTTTCCCCGATTTTAATGAAAAATAAGCATTTAGCACCACCCACATTTCATTATTAATTCCTTGAGAATAGCATAGCTGCTTAGTATGTAAAAATTACATTATCTTTAACAGATAATGTCTATTCTGCTATATTAGTGAAGACAATTTTGTGATATTACTTAATGATCGAACGTCGGAGAAGATCGAACGTTCAATTATGTAAAATATAATTTTCAATTCACATAGATGCAGGAATTGAGCCCCGTATCTCCCACGTAAATAAACTCCAACTCGAATAGGATTCGATTACAATACACTTGATTTTTGCCGTAATCGACAGACTTTTTCTTATCAGGACGTTTGGCCGATCGACAAGTCCAACCACCGATTAGTATTATCATCACACGAACGGAACGAGTAGAATTTTCAGACGAGAGCTTAGCATTATTGATCCGTTCAAATAGCAGACAAAGGTAAAAAACGTTAAAAAAAAATTTGCAAAATTGGGAAATTGGCGATATCGGCACGGAAGTCCAGTGCCAGAAACTGTACGTGGGCCGTGTATAATTAGCCGCAATTTGATTAGTCTAGGTTACTACTCGATAGACCAGTTTGTATAACTAATTACGATACGTTATTACTCATACTCATTGTGAATACAGCAATTATAAATTATCATAATAAAGTGTATGTTTATATACATATACCCATATACATTTGATTTATGTGCTGGTATCCGACCACCGCCAATATTGGCGATTCCAGACTACCTATACCTAATCAATTATCCAGTTTTCCCCCGTTTAATTATGGTCGTCCGGCCAAAATTGTGGTCTCGTCGGCCAGGCTACGGCAAATTTACAGATCGCCCTTCCTCCCGCAAGCATGGCAAGAATAGGTCGACAAACTTCAGCCGGAACTAACGTGATAGCACAACCATAATTTTCATTAAGTGCATAACGTGTGTTTGCTATTACAACTGCGGTGATAGATCGCATTTCTGTCATAATTACGTTGCCATACGTTCAACGGCAAGACCGTTGTTGTTTACCGCGTACACGGAGAAAATTTTATATCAAAAATTACTATGTACGGCATTAATCGCGGACCATGAAGCCGCGAACCGAAAATTTTTACTATGTTTCACATGTGAAAAATATAGTAAAAATTTTTTATAATTCCTTCATGGTCCGCAGCTACTACCATACACAGTAATTTTTTATATAAAATTTTCTCCGTGTATTTATTTACATTCAGAGACTTGTAAAATTGCATTCTGTTTTTTTTGTGAGTAAATATTCAGATTTAAGCAAATTTCTCAAATCCATTATTGTTGTTAAATGAATTTTTATTTATTTTACAGAATTAAAACACGTAAGGAATATTTATCTGCACAATAAAGCCGTGATTTTCGCCACGAATGCACCGAAATAAATAGCAGTAGACGTCTCTTTTCACGATGAACTAATACATGTATGCACCCAGTCGGCACACCTGAGCAAACCTACCAGACCGCGCAGGTGGTTTTGAAGAGTCACAGGCATTATGTTCAGTTCACAATGAGCGCGTACTAACACTCTCACCCTATAGTCGGCAACGCCTGGAAATAATGGAGCCCGCCGCAATGCAGAATTTCGGTGCCACGGTAAGTATCGTGTAATTTTAACGGTAATTGCCGGCGGTTTAAACGCGCCACAATTGAAATAGCCCTTATTCCGCCACTGCCATGGAATGTCGACGTAAGAGGCGAGTGCGAAATAGAAATTCTGAATTTTGCACTATTACGCCGCGATTATTCTTGTTTGCGTTACGTCGTTTGTTAGAAAACGCTATTTGTATAATGACGTTTTCGAACTAACAAGATAATTTTCCTACGTCGCGAAATTTCGGCCAATATATTGTAAAAATTGTGCAGCCGTGCCGCCATTTCAGTCACGTAAAGCTAGTAAATCGTTCCTTACCGAGAAATCTTTGAACTTCCGTAAAATTCTTCTTTTCTTATGACGGTCTTCCGTGCCATTAGAGAGAAACACGCACCGATTCTATGGCTAGCGACAACTATTCCTCTTCTGTGCTTTAAGTTCGCTCGATTGACCCTCACGGCTCTATAACTCATATCGCCGGAGCAAGATGTGCGAGAGTATTCATAAACGCATTGTGCGCTGGGGTGATATTGATTTACGTTGCGCGAAAGTCGAGCGTCACGTTTTCGATAGGCGGATTCGCCGATAATGGCAGGCGGATCTACATGATCCGTGAACCACGTGGGAATACGAACCCGAACGTTATTCTGACGTCGTGACGGCTCGGTAACTTAGAACGAATGAATGTACGTCCCGTTGCATCGGCTGCGGCTATGTGATCCGTATTCACCGAACGTCCCAGGATACAAGGGTCATGCCTCTCCCGTGCCTAATGATCCTCAACCCTTTCCCCAGAGCTTAGAGGTCTTTTAAATGTTGACGTGCTGCCACGCGCTGCCTAACATTGCGTGCAGCAGACAGCTAACATCGTGAGATTCGCGTATTGTGAAAGACAATGGCCGTCGGAATGAGCCGGAGGAATCGCGTTCCAACGTCATAATTTCGATCCATCCCATTGCAATCCGTGTCGAGTTAAAGCCGCCGTTGATACTCGAAATCACCGACCGGTCTAATTAAATCATTTTTGACGTACACGCGCGTTATTTTTCGCGTAACGCGAAATTCTTGGTCAGCTAAACCGTCGATCCATTATCTTCATGTAAAGCGGATTTGCCTACGAATACAATCGGCCGGTTAAATTAACGACCCCGTACTTTCCATCCAACAACACATATATACTCGTGATGCATCGTCGTTACGATAAAACTCTCCCGGGAGGCGTGCGCGCGCGCGCGCGCCAGGATAAAGCTCCGCGATATTAAATCGCGACCGCGTCCGAGCGCTTATTTTTATCTACCCGCGTAAAACTCCCGTGTGAATCGCGACGCACTAGATCCACGTAGAGACATGTTGTCTGTATGGGCGAAAGGAGAGGAGTCGGTGGCGCGAAACCGAGAAATGTGGATGCTGACACACATATGTGCTGCGGCGTCGAGTTATTACCTTCCTTTATTATCGTAACGTTTCTACGTGTATCGAATACGCACGTTATTTGCCGGCCACTATGCTCCTCTGGGGAGCTTTATCCGTTCGACACCGTTTTATCCCTTCTTTTTTGCGGGAGAATAAGATGAACGAACGAATGACCAGTCCAGAAAACGGCGACATTTTTCCTTCCGATGCGATAAACGTCTCGAGAAGTGTACAGCAGGAATTTTCAACGGTGCAAATGTGAATGCGAATGGATCACGCGTATCACAGAGAATGCACGAAAAAAGATCCGTTCACAACTGTCTCGTAAA